AATAGTAAAATAGTATCCTGTATTGCCATACAGTGGGTACTGAAAAAAAAATAATCAACACAACCTCTGCCATCATTCATGCCATCCTAAATGTTTGCCTATTAGTGTCCATGACAACTTCACTAGTTACAAAACATCTGGATTTCACCCTATGTGAACATCATTTTGCCACACAGTGGAGGTAAATCTGCCACTTCTGGATTCCCCTTGAAGACAACTGATTAATAGTACTTTATTAATCTTTGACACCAAGTCAATACCCTTGACAAGTTGCACTGATTATGTATCACTGACAGAAATTCTGAGATCCGAAATCTTTATTCATGTGATGGAGTTTAGCCAGGGAGCCTGACCTATAGGAGAAGAGAAGGGGCAGAAGGTACTTGAACTACAACTCCCATGAGGCACCGCAGCAGCATAGGTAGACACAGATTAATGTCAAACTGACAAAAATGTGATATTTTGATTCAGTTCAAATAAACTGAAAATGTTTTGATTTTGGTCAGCCCAACCTGAAACGAAAAATTTCATTTAGATTTTTTCCAATGGAAACTTGAACATTTTTGGCAAATTTCCATTAAAAAAATTTCAACTTAAGAAAAAATATATTTTCCTCTGAAAAAACATTTCAGCAGATAATTCTTGATCTCCTGAATGTACACTCTTTACAAATGTGGGAAACTTCACTGAGTTCTATAGGTGTATAACTGAGGGCAGAATATAGCCCTATATTTTTACTAGGGCTGTCAAGCGATTAAAAAAAGTAATTGCGATTAATCGCACGATTAAAAAAAAGTAATCACAATTAATCGCACTGTTAAACAATAATAGAATTCCATTTATTTAAATATTTTTGGATGTTTTCTACATTTTCAAATATATTGATTTCAATTACAACACAGAATACCAAGTGTACAGTGCTCACTTTATTTTTGATTACAAATATTTGCACAGTAAAAATGATAAATATATTTCAATTCACCTAATACAAGTACTGTAGTACAATCTCTTTATAATGAAGGTTGAACTTACAAATGTAGAATTATGTACAAAAATAACTGCATTCAAAAACGAAACAATATAAAACTTTAGAACCTACAAGCCCATTTAGTCCTACTTCAGCCAATCGCTCAGACAAACAAGTTTGGTTACAATTTGCATGAAATAATGCTGGCTGCTTCTTGTTTACAGTGTCACCTGAAAGTGAGAACAGGTGTTTGCATGGCACTGTTGTAGCCAGCATCGGAAGATATTTATGTGCCAGATGTGCTAAAGATCCATATGTCCCTTCATGCGTCAACCACTATTCCAGAAGACATGCAACCATGCTGATGACAGCTTCTGCTCAATAATGATCCAAATGAGACCGACGCATGTTCATTTTCATCATCTGAGTCAGATGCCACCAGCAGAAGGTTGATTTTCTTTTTTGGTGGTTCGGGTTCTGTAGTTTCCGCATCGGAGTGTTGCTCTTTTGAAAGCATCTGAAAGCATATTCCACAACTCATCCCTCTCAGATTTTGGAAGGCACTTCAGATTCTTAAACCTGGGGTCAAGTGTTGTATCTATCCTTAGAAATCTCACATTGGTACCTTCTTTGCATTTTGTCAAATCTGCTGTGAAATTGTTCTTAAAACGAACATGTGCTGGGTCATCATCCGAGACTGCTATAACATGAAATATATGGCAGAATGTGGGTAAAACAGAACAAGAGACATACAATTCTCCCCCAAGGAGAGTCACAAATTTAATTAATGCACTATTTTTTTAATGAGCATCATCAGCATGGAAGCATGTCCTCTGGAATGGTGGCCAAAGCATGAAGGGGCATATGAATGTTTAGCATATCTGGCATGTAAATACCTTGCAACGCCGGCTACAAAAGTGCCATGTGAATGCCTGCTCTCACTTTCAGGTGACATTGTAAATAAGTAGTCAGCAATATCTCCCATAAATGCAAACAAACTTGTTTGTCTTAGCAATTGGCTGAACAAGAATTAGGACTGAGTGGACTTGTAGGCGCTGAAGTTTTACATTGTTTTGTTTTTGAGCGCAGTTATGTAATAAACAAAGGAAATTTACATTTGTAAGTTAACTTTCATGAAAAAAGAGAGATTTCACCTCATACAAGTACTGTAGTGCATTGAAAAATACTATTTCTTTTATTATTTTTACAGTGCAAATATTTGTAATAAAAATAATATAAAGTGAGCACGGTACACTTTGTATTCTGTGTTGTAATAGAAATCAATATATTTGAAAATGTAAAAAACATCCAAAATATTTAATAAATTTCAATTGGTATTGTATTGTTTAACAGTGCAATTATTTGTGATTAATTTTTTTAATCGCAGTTCTTTTTTTGAGTTAATCGCATGAGTTTACTGCGATTAATCGACAGCCCTAATTTTTACCCTCCCGACAGATAAATCAACAAAATGTGTACTTATTAATTTCTATCATTAGTCTCGCTACACAAACTTTTTCCAACTGTACCTTCTCGCTTCTTCACCGTCACAAAATAACATTAAAAAATTAAGCAAAAAGGCAGTATAGAAGCAGCATATAAAATCATTTTAAATTATTGAAATCTTCATTAAATTGATAAACAAGTGACTAACCAACCACATGTTAGGTTACTTTAGCATCTTAACTATTCTGTATTAAAACTGCAAAAACCAAGATATATTCTTGCAAGCACTCTTCATGCACACACTAAGTCACCTCCCATTTCCTTTAGCCCTTAATCTGCAAAGTCCATCTTAATTAGAGAAATTTAAAATGAGAGGAGACCAAGCACAGCTGGTTGAAGTTTTGCAATATTGATTTTTTTAAAATAGAAGTGTTCACCAACATTTGTAAAATTTCCAATAGCCCTGCAGCTGGTCCAAAAACAGGGGGAAAATATTCAATTAAAATTCATCAAAAGCCCACAACACAGTTTTTAAGGGGTCGGGGGAGGGTTCCAAATGCCAATCAGACTAGAACTGAGGATGGAATCATAGGATGGTGGAGAGGGTGCTGTCAAACCAACTGATTCATCCCACCATTATTGAGGACGCCAATCTAGCATCCACACAGCAGCAGCCTTATTTTCAATCCCCCAGCAAAAAAAAAAAAAAAAAAAGAAAGAAGAGAAATAACTAGGAAGGGATTGTAAAATCATCATACTAGAACAAAACCCCTCATTAACTAAATAAATTAACTTTTTATTTGAATTTGCAAAAATGACAAAGTTGCTGATTATTTATTTTTAACATGATGCTTTTCATAGCAAACGAAACAGAGCTCCCTCCTGCTCGAAATAGGGCCCAATCTTGCAATTGCTGTATATATACAATGGCTAATGAACTCAGTGGGAGCTGTGGATACAGTATGGACTAGCTCTTGTCTTTGAGACTCTGAACCCTTCTGATCATTCTCCTAAATGTGGCAGAAAGAAATATGCTGCAGCAAACAGAACACATCCTTTGACCTTAAGCTATCACAGTTGTGGCACACAGGTTTAGTTCTCTCTTACTGTGAGAGATACGATCACTTGATTCCCTCTCCTTGCCATGCCCCACTAGATCTCAGCAATCATGTTTGAGCCACCTCTACCAGCTCAGAGTGCTATGGGAAAAAAAGGTATCACACAAAAAGAGTTATTCTCAGCCCTTACAATTAATTTCAAGATAAGGAGACAGGTGGTTTTTTATGTGAATTGATACCAACTATCTAGATTCAGAAATGGATATAGCTTTCTAGTGATATTGGTAGAAATATCAATGTGTAAAAATACATTTAATTTGTCTTCATTATTAAAATTTTTTTTTTCTTTCTTTCTTTCCTGAAAATGTTAAAGCCCACTAAAAACACAGTGATGTTAGGAGCCACTTGGCACTCTCATCGGTAGTCTTAGCAAGGAATTAATAGGCATGAAAAATGAACTACACTCAGATCAGGGAAGATGCAATTTGGCAGAGCAGCATGAGAAAATTTGTACTTGTTCTGTGGCTAAATGGAAGACCTCAATCTGTAGTGCTGTTTATTCTGCACACATACTCACGAACACACAGACTCTGCATTGTTTATTCTACTGAGTAAGATTTTTAAGTCTAGTCAATGGCAGGTGACAGATCCCTTCAAAGTAAGACTTCAGGTCTCAGAAGCTATTTCTAGGTAACTTCCTTTCAAATCAGTAATGAACTGGCCTTGATAATTACCATAGTTGTTCAATTCCCTGCAATTTATGGCTCGCTAATATGAAGGGACTTATACTGTCTTAACTACTTTGTATTTTGATACAGCTCTACCAAGGCCCTCCGACCCCATATAATAACAATTGTGCTACCCCAACCCTATCAATCACACCTTATAAGGTTGGTTCCCAGAGAAGGGGGTATGAAAACGGATGGAATGAGCTTGGTGCAGCCACCAATATACTGTAAAATAGTTAACAATTCTCCCCTGGGAAAGTCCAATGGAAGCCCAAGTTAGAAAATGTTATCTCTATTTGGAGAAATTGGAAATGTATATGACTCATCTTCAGTATGTCAATGCTATTGCCTTAGCTGTCTCCCAAAGATCAAGGTGAATGGAAATCAATGCTGCTGCCTTATTAGGAAACACAAATCAGAGACTTCGTGACTTTGTAAAAACCCCTCTGTCACTTTGACCTTTTGGTGCCAAGCATCTCCATGGATTCATTACTGTGCATTGTTATGTTTTAGAAAGAAATCTCCAATACAACTGTATTTTTAAAAAGTAACAAACTGGCAGCCAACACCTTTATCTGTACTGTCTGGGAAGCTGAGCTGGGCAAATGGAATAGGGGAGACTCATGTACAGACAGTTGTTTTGGCTTTAAATTTATGACCTCTGCTCTGACAATGTGGTACAGATTGCAATTAAGTTCAATCAAGATTTGAGGTGATGGCACAGCCTTGTCACTCTGGAAGCAGGTATCCTCCAGAACATCCTACAAGTTAAACAAATAGAGGGGGGAAAACAGTACTAACCTGGGTCTCCAAGCCGGTGTAGGGACGGGGAGGCTGGTCCTGTAAAAAGAAAGCAGAAGGAAATTGTGACACAGTCTATACCATTATGTCCACCACTTTTACAAGACTATAATAAATTTTGTACAGAGTATTCCTTGTGAGGTATTACTTGAAAACTGATAATCTGCTGAACATTATTGTCCTGGTAAATTATACATACATATATAAAATCTCATGTATAAAATGTTCTACTGTATAACATGTTCCAAGTTTAGAAAAGCAGGCACAAACCAATCTTTTAGAGACTAAAGAAACTCTGGCACCCCAGCCAGATATCAGCATAATCAAATGGATTATGATGGGTTATCACCAAGTTTAGCCACCATTCTTTGTCAGGAAGAAGGGTGCAAGCAAGAACTTTACATATTAGCAATGGAAAACAGCTGCAGTGTAAACAGACTGGCTGTTGCCTGAACACCAGCTGGAGATAATCCTCAAAGAGTGGAGAATGGCATGACAAGAGGACACGCACACATCACCTCACCTCTCTCCTCGCATCTCATAGACTCATAGATATTAAGGTCAGAAGGGACCATTATGATCATCTAGTCTGACCTCCTGCACAATGCAGGCCACAGAATCTCACCCACCCACTCCTGCAATAAACCTCTCACCTATGTCTAAGCTACTGAAGTCCTCAAATCATGGTTTAAAAAGACTTCAAGGTGCAGAGAATCCTCCAGCAAGCGACCCAGCCCCATGCTACAGAGGAAGACGAAAAACCCCCAGGGCCTCTTCCAATCTGCCCTGGAGGAAAATTCCTTCCCGACCACAAATACGGTGATCAGCTGAAACCCTGAGATGTAGGCAAGATTCACCAGCCAGATACCAAGGAAAGAATTCTCTGTAGTAACTCAGATCCCACCCCATCTAACATCCCATCACAGGCCATTAGGTCTATTTACCATGAATATTTAAAGATCAATTAATTGCCAAAATCATGTTATCCCATCATACTATCTCCTCCATAAACTTATCGAGTTTAATCTTGAAGCCAGATAGGTCTTTTACCCCCACTGCTTCCCTTGGAAGACTATTCCACAACTTCACTCCTCCGATGGTTAGAAACCTTCGTCTAATTTCAAGTCTAAACTTCCCAATGACCAGTTTATATCCATTTGTTCTTGTGTCCACATTGGTACTCAGCTTAAATAATTCCTCTCCCTCTCTGGTATTTATCCCTCTGATATATTTATAGAGAGCAATCATATGTCCCCTCAACCTTCTTTTGGTTAGGCTAAACAAGCCAAGCTCCTTGAATCTCCTTTCATAAGACAGGTTTTCCATTCCTCGGACCTTCCTAGTAGCCTTTCTCTGTACCTGTTCAAGTTTGAATTCATCCTTCTTAAACATGGGAGACCAGAACTGCACACAGTATTCCAGATGAGGTCTTACCAGTGCCTTGTATAACGGTACTAACACTTCCTTGTCTCTACTGGAAATACCTTGCCTGATGCATCCCAAGACCGCATTAGCTTTTGTCATGGCCATATCACATTGGCGGCTCATAGTCATCCTGTGGTCAACCAATACTTCAAGGTCCTTCTCCTCCATTACTTCTAATTGATGCATCCCCAGCTTATAACTAAAATTCTTGTTATTAATCCCTAAATGCATGACCTTACACTTCTCACTATTAAATTTCATCCTATTACTATTACTCCAGTTTACAAGGTCATCCAGATCCTCCTGTATGATAGCCCGGTCCTTCTCTAAATTGACAATACCTCCACTCATGGCAGCTACAAAACTCTTGAAAGACAAAGGAAGCATCATTGAACTGGTGCAGAGGTGCTAGCTGGAAGGCTTTTCGGACAGTATAGACTGCTATAAGCATATAGTGAGATAAAACCTTTGCTTTGAATCCATTTAGCTTGCTAAATTAGGTATTCGTTTGCGATTTATCTTTTTATTTTCTTTGTAACCAATTCTGACTTTGACTCATTACTTGTAGTCACTTAAAATCTATCTTTCTGTAGTTAATAAATTTGTTTTATCACTTTATCTAAATCAGTGTGTTTGGACTGAAGTGTTTGGAAACCACCACTTGAGATAACAGGGTCTGTGCATATCATTTTCCTTTGAGGAAAGGATGGACTTTCTATGAGTTTTTATTGTTCAGTAGAGTGCTGGGCAGTACAAGATACACATTTCTGGAGGGAGTAGGCTGGGACTGGAGATTTCTTGGTGTCACTCTGCAATACAATTCATGAGTGGCTGGCAGAGCATTCATGTAACAAAGCTGTGAGTCGTTTTGCTGGAGGCTGTGTGTGAGCATCAGGAGTGGTGGCTCTTATAGCAAAGCAATGTAAAAGGCATCCCAAGCTGGACAGCAAAGGAGACACAGCTGTTCAGTAGCATCCCTGGAGAATATCACAGAAATAGACATTAGTCTTCAGAATACCGAGAAAATGGGACTTTTTTGAGCTCTTATTGACTAGGCAAGATGACACCAAAGAAACAAGTGTTTACTCTAGCCCAGGCGTCTCAAATGTTCTCTTCTTAAGATAGAGTTCCTTTCATATACACCTCTCTTCCACTTCCATACAAAGCATTTGCCAGCCACAATATTTGGTTGCATGGGATAAAAGTAATATTAGAAGAATATTAGGGAGACCACATAGCTTTCAGAATAGACTCACGGTCAGATGAGGCACTCATATCATTGAGCTCCTATTTTGGTTTTCATATTTTTCCTGCTCTGTTCTTTTTTACATTGCAATACAACTGATCTGTGCATCTTTAAAATTTTTGAGCTCTTTCAGAAAGTTAACTGGAGACTTTGGCAATGTGTAGAGCTGGTTGGAGAACTGAATATATTTGTGATTATTCCCATTTTTCATCAAAATTTCATTCTGATGATACAACTAGCTTTAATAATGTGTCATTATATTTAAGTAAACAGTTCTAGCTTTGAAGTGTATATCTTCTTTTGTGCACAAAGTAAGAACCCTTATTGCAACTTGGCTAGGGGTCCAAAGCTCATTAAAGTACTCCTAAATACTAAAGCATAAAAACTGTCCATGTGGCCAGTTAATGAACAGGTCCTCAAAAAAAGATAATATCCTTGCAAGAAGCTACATCAGGAGAAGGCTTTGCAGAATTAAATGTGGGTTTTTTATATAATTTTGGTAAATAGTATTTATGTTGATTTTTAAGCATTTGCTTTGATTATTATCAATTTAAATGTTCACAGTTGAGCAAAATGATGGGGTAAGCATTTTATCCACTTATTTTGAAGCACTTTCTCCAAAATTTTATATTTTCATAGTTGTGAAAAATTATGGGGAGATCATGAAATAACAATTAGAGTAGGTTTTGAAATTCAAAAATTTAAAACTTTATAGCTGTTAAAACACAAATTGTCAACACCACGTCAAAGTATACAAAGTAAATATCTCTAAATCAAACTAAGTTCTCTTCTTACTTTGCCTATTTGTTAATTTCAATCATCATCATTGGAAATTTTTCTTCGTTGGTTTCTGTGTGTGCAGTGAAAAATAGGTTTACCAATATTTACTGATTTTTTAAAAAAACTTAATCCTTTCAAACCTAATCATTAGTGTTCTGGGACTAGCTCTCAAACAAAATATTTGAAGAATCATCTTTTAAAGTACACAGGTACACTTTTAAAACTTCAGTCCTGCTGGCCCAAGGTATTACTGCGGGGGTCTCACTTTCTATAGCATCCTGTTTAACTGGAAAAGCTAACGAAGTGGAACCAGGTCAATGATGCTTTCTCTTTAATCCATCACGTCTGTCAAAATTAGACAACTTCAGTTGAGAGTAGGGTAAATTCTGGCCTGTCAGATTATAAAGCCCCTGGGAATAAGAGTTTTAAAATCCCAGGATACTTCAGCTAGATGTGATTCTGTTTTGTTCCTGCAGGGCCACAATGTGTAACAAGTAGCTAGCTTCCTTCCTTTCCCTTTAAAGACTACACCAAATGCAGTTAACATTTGCATAGTTTTTGGTTTAATACATTTTTTATAACTGTACTAATGAAGGGGTCTCTTAATGAGCCCAGAATGAAGACTACCAGTCAAATACAGAGATGCCTTGTAGCTAACTGCCTGTCTTTTCCCCCCAAGCAATAAATAAGTTCTGTGATATCTGCCAGCAGTTTATGCACAGCTGAGAAGTCTTACCTCTAATCCAACATCTAGTGAACTTATCAACATATTCAAACACTGGACTACAACTACTGCTCACACATGGATGTTATCTGACCACAGATCAAATAATACTAAGAGTTCTAAGATGTGCAGAAACATGGATGTATCCATGAATGATTTCACTCAGATAAACTAGAAAAGGATCTTATTTAGTGAAAAAAGCTCTTGTGAAGATTGGCCCCCCTATTTTCTCAAAAGGAAATGATCCAGGTACACTAGACACTGAATACACGCATTTATCATGCTCATCTGTTACGGACTCAGGAGATTAAATTAATTCCTTGTGTGACTGGATTCTAAGGAAGTGATGCCAGCAAAGAAAACAAGCTCAGACACTATAAAGTACCTCTCCTCTCTTAAGTGAAGGGATCAATTTTTAATTTGGTTAGAATGGGTCTCGATTGTTCTGAATTTTTCTCCCCTGTGATATCTACACCAAATCAGAGACACCAACAATATTGAATAGTGTGTATGTGTGTGAGAGAGAGAATCCAAAAATAACTTTCTAAGGTAGTAACAGCAAATTATTACTTTTCCAATACAATGGCCCCGCTGTAGAGATTTCCCTTTGGGATATCATCTGGATTTTCTTAGTCACTGCCAGCTACATTGCAGACAATAGCTTTTTCAAAATGCGTTGTTGGTTCTTCAGTTAGAACCACAGCATCCTGAAAGGGTCCAGGGAATTCTTAGAATAAAAGCCCAACAACTACTGAAAAGAAAGTATTAACCTCATAGATCAGGGCTGGGCAAATTACGGCCCGCCGGCTGCATCCGGCCCACCATACATTTTAATCCAGCTCTCGAGCTCCCACCAGAGAGGAG